TTCAGGGGAGGAAGGCGTAGGGCCTCAAACAAACAAGCATTTCCTGTGTTTGCCTGGAAGAAACCAATCGTCCCACTCTTGGTCTACAGTGCAAACTACTGCTAATTTGCCAGTAGCTAGGAGGGATTTCTGTTCTTCACTGGGGCTCTGGGGCAACTGTTTTGTTTTAAATAGAAATTTAGCCATGAACATACAGCCTTTTTAAAAAATGAAAGAAAGTCAAGCCATAATTGAAGTGCATTAATGGTAATTACGTCTTTCTTTCACTCATCATTCTGTCAGAGAAATCCATTATCCCGCCATCTCGATGCTTCCACAAAATTGCTCTTCCCTGTAGATGTTAAGAGACTTGAGGAAATCACAGCTTTGTTCTATAAAATGTCCCTTAATGCTTGCCCAGTCTCTCTGTATTTCTTTTTTTTTTTTCCTTTCAGGAAACAACAGCCCATACTGATAAAATGTATAAAGCAGTTTGGGGCTCTGATCAGAAATGGGAGCACGAAATGGAGAAATGTTCTGAAATTTTAGCCGCCTCAGTTACCGGCAAAATTGGAGTCGACCAAGACATTTTGCTTAGTCCGAGGGGAATCATATGGCCCTTTAGATTTAGAGATGGAAAGAATGCTCACAATTACTTGTTCTTGGGTTGAAAAGGGAGTTTTCTGACAGTCGGAAAGACTAGTTAGGAAGGCAAGCAAGAACTTTGACCAATTTTCTCCTGGTATTTGAACATCTCAAAGTGGATTTGTGGAGGAATTATCTGCAAAGAAAAACATAAACCTTAAAAAAACAAAACAGAAAAAAAACTTTATTTTATAATAACAATGATGATGATAATTGTTTTCTGCATAGAAAACAGTTTTTGTGCAACCTCCCCCTCCCATGTTTTTTCTCTCTCCACCTAATAGTTCCTCTGCAACAATTCAGAACATTATAAGAATACAACAGAGAAATATTTATTTTCTCCCTCAGTATGGAAAATACTGCCATAATTATTCTTTCATTTATACAATTATAAAATAATCAAGGATTTACATCTCTACTCCACATATGGTTAGGTGGTCAACTATGCTAGTCTAAGGTAGCATAGCCAGTGGTGATGAATTCTGCAGCCCCAAAACATCTGAAAGGCTGCACAATTTGCACCCTAATCTATAGCAATAAGTCAAGGCCAGGTGGCATCTCTTATTCCATTACATGTAGACAAATTGTGAACCAGCAGTTGAATTTTGTTTCAGCACTGGCAAGGGGATGGTTTCAGCACTGGCAAGGGCAGCAGACTACATCTAGAGTTCTAGGACAAGTCTTCTCTCGTACGCAGCTTTAACAGAGGAGGATGTAAATGGGTTTCAGGAGAAACAATTCTGGGGCTGCCATCTAAGGCAGCTGTCTCACACTGCCTAATGGGTAGAGTTGCAAAGATTTTGCCTTTTTCTTGAATCATGAAACAAGGATGCATTACCAGAAAGGTTTGAAGGCATATGATGCAGCAAACTTGTCAAAACTAAATAGGTTCAGGGTTTTATCATTGCATAGATAGAGATCTGCTGGGTAAGCCAATGTCTTGTTATATGTGTGTGCCTTCAATTCATTTTCCATTTATAGCAACCTTAAGGTGAACCTATCATTTTTATTTTTATTTTTTTGCAAGGTTGGTTCAGAGGGGGTTTGTGTTTGCCTTCCTCTGAGGCTGAAAGAATGTGACTTGTCTGAAGTAACCCAGATGGTTTCCATGGTCAAGCAGGAATTTCAACCCTGGTTTTCAGAATTGTACCCAGTACTCAAACTGGCTCTCCAATTCTGATGCCTCAGATTCTGTCATGGAAGAAAGACATGATATAAATGTAAGAAATTAATATGGGTCTTATCTCATTTACCTGCAGTCTTATTAGGGCTTATTCCAAACCTGCAGTCACATTAGGGCAAGAGAAAAAATATGCAGGAGTGAAAGGAGATGAAAGAAAACAAATATTAAAATAAAAATGAGCAATATGATGAGTCCAGTTTATATGAAAAAGGGAAGGTTTCCAGACCAAAAAAAAATGAAGAAAGTGTCAAAAGTATAGTGTGAAATTCATGCACGGAATGGGAGGTGGTAATCTTGTTCCCATAAAGAAGGGCTAAGCACAGGGAAGATGGAAACTCAGATGCCCTGAGGATTTGATTGAAGGGAAGAATATCAATTCTTATGATGAGAAATAAAATAAAGAAAGAAATCTTGCTTGCAAGTGGATATATGAACACAGAAATGGCAGAGAACCCTGTGCTGATTCAGCTTAGTGTATTTGAGAGCATCAGCAAATACTCCTCTCACCTCAGATAGGTATGCTATGCATTTTAAAATGTACTCATGAGTGATTTGGGAAGTCTTATAGGGTCTTATCGCATTCACCCATAGCTGACCATCTGCAGCCTGTCTGCAGACCATCTGCAACCCAGCATTCTCTGGTGGATTTTCATTGATGGGATTTTCCCATCTTTGAAAAGCTGCAGGATAAGCGTGAGTTGCAGACAGGCTGCAGACTGGTGACCATGGGTAAATGAGATAAGACCCGCTTTTGGCACTTAAACACACATGTATCCTGTTGGGAGAAAGACGGCATGCAGTGTGTGTGATAATCTCCATTGATAGTTTAGGCATGTTTTTAACTTTTGTATGATGCAAATTACTTTAGCTCTGTTTCTTTAAACTTTTTGTAAGCCACCTTGAGTCCTGTACTTTGTCATTAATTCAGTTTTGGAATACCTGAAATATAACTAAGTTATGTGACAGTTACAATAAGAGGAGGGATAACATAATTCCTTTTTGCAACATAACTACAATTGCTTTACTTGCTTTTATAGATATAGGAAATGTGAACTCAGTACTCATGTGTGCTTTGTATTACAGCAGGCAAGTAGTTCAAGCCATTCAGCATTTTTTTTAAAAAAAATCTTAAAACTAGTTACAATTATAATTCCAAAGCTATCAAAAAGTAATTATCACCACCGTTACAATAAAAAAAACTGCTTCTCTGAAAGTAACTACAGTGATAACTAACTTCTTGTGTGTGGCCTGGAATTACTGTAACTAACCCATTGTTACAGTGGATATTAATGAATATTAGTTACTGTAACAATGGATTAGTTACTGTTAGTTACAGTTATAGTTGAATTTAGTTACAGAAGTTACCCACTATAACAAATGATTTTTAAAGATAACTTTCCAAACTCTGGTCTAGTTATTTTGAGATTAGTGGGCAGGTCAGAAGGAAGCATTGAGATATGGCTCTGAAGCTGCACTGCTGTAGTGATTTCTGGAACAGAACTGTATGGTACATCCTGAACACTATGAATTCTGATTTTGCAAATCTGTCCAATGTTAGAAACTCATCAGAACCATTTTTTCTCCTGATTGAGAAAAGAACAATTGGCAAAAGGCTATAACTGCAATCCAGTTAAGATCAATTGAATTCTTTATTATTTTTACTACCTCTCTTCATCTGCCTCTTCTTTATATGACTTATTCTGCCATCTCAAAAACACTATTATGTTGTGGCTGGACATTATCCATGAGTAGGTCCTAGATGAGACGTCCTCTGTTGACTCTTTCTTTTTGTTTATGAATTGCCTGTTTCTTTCCCCATCCTCTGCAAATCCTAGAGGAAGCAAGATTCTTCCCACAGTCACCCACACACCTTCTGTCTCTATTCTTAAAAAAAATAAAATAACAGTAACAGCTCAGCTTATTGCAGAGAGTGAGTCCAGCTGAAGCAAAAAGGATTTAATGAAGTTAAAACTAAAGCAGAGAATTTTCACTTTAGAGAAGAGATTCAGAGGTTCCAGAGGCCGTGTTTACTCTTGGGTACATTCAAGAGAACCAGAAAGCTTTTTTCCTCCCTTTTATTTTCTGTCATCTTTTCAAACAACTTATGAATGTTATAGCAAAGCTATCAAAACAAGATATTCAGACTTTTTCTTTCTTGTCTCTTTTGAAGCAAGCATCACTTATGTTTGGTTCAGATACAACACGTAACTCTCATTTGATGCCATATGGATGAGCCTGGACCATAACCCTTGGTGATCACTTGCTCCCTCCTCTGTCTCTTCTCCATCCTCAGAGATCCCAGTTGGCATACTGTCTTGTGACCAGAGGCACCAGTAAGTCTCCATTGTCTGTTCCCACATAACTGTTGTTGCTGTTGTTTTATTTATTTATATCCCACCATCCTCCCAGTACAGGGACTCAAGGTGGCTAACAAATTTTAAAATAGTTCAAGTTAAAAACAGTACAAAACCATAAAAATACAATTAAACAATTTCAAAAAGTTAAAGCATTGGCTGTTCAGATTTAAAATGTAAAAACTCTTACAGAACTCTTATGGCACCTATGTCAGCGTGAAAAAGCCTGACGGCCACTGAAATGAAAACAGGGATGGAGCCAGCCTGACCTCTCTAGGAAGGGAGTTCCAGAGCCTGGGAGCAGCCACCAAGAAGGCCTTCTCTCTTGTTCTCACCAAATGCACCTGAGTGGGTGGTGGGAAAGAGAGAAAGGCCTCTCCAGATGATCTGAACACTCTGGTGGGCTCATAAGGGGAGATACGGTCCTTTAAATAGCCTGGATCCAAGCCGTATGGTGTTTTATAGATCAAAACAAGCACTTTAAATTGTGCCCAGAAATGGACTGGCAACCAATGGAGTTGTTGCAGCAACAGAGTTGTATGATCCCTGTAGCCAACTCCAGTTAACAACTTAATTGCAGCTCTTTGGGCCAACTGAAGTTTCTGAGCACTTTTCAAAGGCAGCCCCATGTAGAGTGGATTACAATAATCCAAATGGGATGTAACCAAAGCATGTACCACCATTGTTGCTATGTGCCTTGGAGTCATTTCTGACTTATGTCAACCCTAAGATAAACCTATCATTGGGTTTTCTTGGCATATTTCTTCAGAGGGGTTGCCATTGTCATCCTATGGGGCTGAGAGAGTGTGACTAGCCCAAGGTCAACCAGTGGATTTCCATGGCCAAGCTGGGATTCAAACCCTGGTCTCCAGAGTCATAGTCTAACACTCAAACCACTATACCACACTCTCATTCCCACATAATTACCATGGCTCAAGGGGCTCCATTTAGTTTGAAAACGTTAGTCGGAAAGATTAACAAGCTATGACAAAATGCATTTGTAATTCACACAGACATCAATTAAAATCCATAAGAAATATCAGACTGGAGAAAGTGTGACTCACTACCATAAATGTCCGCTTGGCTATTTTTGTGGCTCTCAAGTTTCTCTGAAGATGCCAGCCACAGATGCTGGCGAAATGTCAGAAAGAAACTCTTCTAGAACATGGCCACACAGCCTGAAAAACCCACAAAAAAACTATCTCAAGATTCCCTTTTTGCCCCCAATGCCCCTTTGCTTCTGGGAGGACAGATTTCCATGTTTTTGGCCCTCCCCATAGGCTGGGGAAAACCTTTTGAAAAATAATCCCTGTCCTGTGCCTAAAATGGAATAGGAAGGGCCAAAACTGAAACTGCCTCCATGCCCAGGGATCATGGGAAGTATTTAGTGGCCAAAAATAGGGAATCAAATGGAGCCCTCTAAACCTGAAATTTGCCCACCCTTTACACTGGCCAGCCCCCCCCCTTGAACTCTTGTTTCTTTCCTTAGTCGATTATGGGCCTATACAGACTGCCAGAAATAATCCAACTTGAGACCACTTTAACTGTCCTAGGTCAGTGCTAAGGAATCATGGGAACCGTAGTTTATTGTGGCACCAGAGCTCTCTGACAGAGTGGCCTCAATGTCACAGAAAAAACTACAATTACTATGATTCCCTAGCACTGAGCCAGGGCCATTAAAGTGGACTCAAGATGAATTATTTCTGGCAGTCTGTATAGGCCCTATATCAGTGTCACATTGCATAAACATGTTGAAAACCCTGAATCCTTACAAGAAGTAATGCAAAACCTAAAGTTAAGCATCCTTCCCTTTTGTTAACCAGAAAAAGACAAGTACTCTCCCTTTGCTCACCTGTATAAGAATTCAATAAACACCCAATAGAATATGGGTTGAAAACTTGCTAAACTCCAGCCAAGCCAGGGCTTCTTTTCCTTTATATCTGGCATAATTTACAATTGCTACTAAACAGAATACAGTGGGCTCTTGGTATTCACTGGGGTTTGATTCCAGGACACCTCCGCCCCATGGATACCAAAATCCATGGATGCTCAAGTCCCATTAAATACAGTGGATAGTAAAATGGTCTCCCTTATATAAAATGGCAAATCCAGGTTTGATTTTTTGAATTTATACATTTTTTTTAATATTTTCAAGCCATGGATGCTTGAATCCATGGATATAGTATCTGTGGATATGATGGGGCAACTTTAGGCCTAAAATGCCATGGAAAATGAGTAAACTGCATAGTTAGAGAACACTGTCAGATTTCAACAACAAAATATTCTCTCTGGTATAACAATTTGGAAAACAAAGGTGGCTAGCAGCTTCCATGTGGGTGTCCAGCGTCACAGTGATTCCATTTTCAGTCTGTGTTTGAACTTCAAAAGAACTGTCCAAGGTACTGAAATCTATAGGTTCTAATCCTCGGATAGCTTCTTCAAAGTTCAGATTAAAACTTGGAGCTAATTCACAGCCCCAATGACAGGGAGCCACCAGCACACACTGCTGGAAGCCATGCATTCTGAGACCTACAGGAAAAAAGAGATGCCACCTCAAAATTAGGAAGAACTTACTAACAATAAGAACTGTTCAACAGTGGAACACACTCACTCAGAGTGTGGTGGACTCTCCTTCTTTGGAGGCATTTAAGTAAAGGCTAGATGGCCATCTGTAGACAGTGTTATTATTATGTCTTCCTGCATGGCAGGGTGTTGGACTGGATGGCCCTTGTGGTCTCTTCCACCTCTATGATTCTATAATGCACACACTTTTTCCTTTGGCTATAATAGTCTTAAACCCAATGAATTGAATCTGACATGGGTATCTTATAGGAGAGTGAGCTTCTTCAGATGCAGTAATCCTGGCTGGCTTCTCCTCTCACCGTTAGGTGTTGATTCTTGTTCCTCTGAATGTGTTACTTTTTAAGGGGATCTCACAAAAGGTCTTACTGGCTAGGCTGTCCAGGGAATTTGGGGAGCAATAGTGATCCTGTTGAATGCCAGTGATCCTGT